CCCCGCGTCACAGCCACATGCAGACTCCTTTCTTTCTCTTCAGAAATGGACCTTGGGTTTCTGGAGCTAAAGAAAACCAAGGACTTTGGCAAAAGTTTCAAGACCATAGGAAACAGAATCTACTCGTTCGGCCTGGGAGGTCGCTTCCTCTTTGCGTCCGTAGTGACGGAGAAGGTAGGAGATCGGTCCTTTCCACCTGGCTCTGTGTCCACGTGGGAGGCCATGGCCCGGGCTGGGATGAACGCCCAAGTCTGGGGTTGTGGGCACGGGATCTGTGTGAACATGATGGTGCCGTAGGGGGCTGGGAACAGGCAAGGGTGTAAATGAGCACGTGACTCGTGTTCATCCCATCCTTGTATCCTACTAATATCAGGACAGTTCTATTCCCTAAAAGTTATTTATTAGTTCCCATAATAGAAGAACTAGAGGACACCAAATGAAGTTAATGGGTAGCAGGTTTAAAACTAATAAAAGAAAGTTCTTCTTCACACAGCGCGTAGTCAACCTGTGGAACTCCTTGCCAGAGGAGGCTGTGAAGGCTAGGACTATAACAAAGTTTAAAGAGAAACTAGATAAATTCATGGAGGTTAGGTCCATAAAAAGCTATTAGCTAGGGGGTAGGAATGGTGTCCCTGGCCTCTGTTTGTCAGAGGCTGGAGACGGATGGCACAAGACAAATCACTTGATCATTGTCTTCGGTCCACCCCCTCCGGGGCACCTGGCGCTGGCCACTGTCAGCAGACAGGCTACTGGGCTAGATGGACCTTTGGTCTGGCCCAGTATGGCCGTTCTTATGTACTTATTAGAATATTATTAGGTCATGAGTTCAGTATGTCTCCTAATTGTGCTAGAGTTCTGTGCTATTTTTGGTTTATAATCTTGTGATATTAATGTAATGTCTATAATAAACTTGTTAAGTAGGGGAAACTGATGGATTGGAAGATAACATTTCTGATTAGGTTTTGATCTAGGGATGTAAGTGGCTAGTTGACTAGATGCTTCTTCCCCCACCTTGATGCCTCTGATAGAGGCAGTAATTGGGAGGAGCAGAAGCCGGTGCTGGGGGAAGACGGCTTAAAAGCTGGTTCCCCCCAGCACTGTCTTGGCAGGGGGCAGGAAAGGTAGGGGGATAGCAGGCACCGGGTGCGAGCCTGGAATCAGTGCATTTCTGGCTTGCACCCAGTCCCAGATGCTGCACCTCTGCTTTTTAAGTGTATTAAGAGTCGGCCAGTTCTTAATACAGTTAAAAATCAGAAGTGCAGCCGGGGGGACCTGGTGCGGGCTGATACAGCTGATTCCCAGCTCGCACTGACCCACTGTGCTCCAGCCTTTTCACATTTAAGGCTGGTGCTCAGTGGGAGACCTGGCATGAGCCGGGAATCTGCTGTCTCAGCTGGTGCCAGTCCCACACTGCGCTTCAGTCTTTTAAATGTATTAAGAACCACTAAGTTAAAGCATGGTAGGGGGGAACCTTGCGTGAGCTGGGCATCAATTTGCATAGCTTACTTCAAGCAATTTGCATAGCTTGTATTGAGCTAAGGGTGCAGTGTAGACACATCCTTATCCAGAGTAGTCCTGTGTAGGCAGCCTTCCATTTTTCCATCTCTACCCCAATGAGCCACAAAAAACAAATGCAGATGCCAGTTCTACCCAGATACTGATCTGATGTACCTTGTATAGCTGGACTGCTATATAGCCCTTTGTAGAACCCATTAACCTTTCCTTTTCTATCCATAAAGGAATGAAAAGTCAGTACCTGTTTTAACTTGCAAATGGGCAAAGTGCCATTTTTTTAAAATGAAGAACAAAAGCAGAGGAAAGGGGGAGTAGAGATGAGGTGTGAAGGAAAGGAAAAAACAAAATTAAGGTTTTCAGAATGCAAGTACACTCTTGCCCAAACTTCCTTCCCCTTCATCACCAGGCACCTGCACTGGTCACCAAGGAATGATTCCTGTGGAATTTCAAACAGGTCCCAGCTTCCAGCATGGTTGGAGTTCCTCACTGTGTCTTCCTTCTCTTGCTATTCACAGCAAGGTTCTCCACCTTGGGCTCCTCCAAGGTATCCACAGTGGTATGTAGGGCACTGCTGGAGTTATTGCTAAGAATGGCATGCAGTTTGTTGTGAAAGCAGCAGGTCTCCAGGCAGGAGATTTCTTGTCTTCCCTTGTTCTTTGATCTGCCTGGCATATTTTTTCTTTGTTTTCATGTAACATTGCTGCTGATCCCTGTCATGCCCCTTTGCCAGCATCCCCTGGGCAGTCTTCTCAAATGTGTTCATATTTCTGTGCCTGATCTGTAGCTGGGCTTGCACAGCTTCTGTTCCCTGCAGTTTCAGGAGATCCAGTGTTACTTGTTACACAAATTTGCTATACAAAGACAGCTGCCAGGAGTAGGCATTCTTGGTTAGGTAGAGCACACAACAAAAGGTAAGCTGTTCGGTGTATTGACAAAGGTCGGTGAGTAGGAAAAGGCATTTAAAGAACACATGGGGGTTTTAAAGATGGGGCAGGCTTCCAGTCTCAACAATCACTGGGCAGTGGAGTTCAAAACTTTGCAATAGTAACCATTCTGTTCAGAGATAGGGACATTGTGAAACAGGTACTGGGTATGGTTAGAGTTGTCAGACATATATTCCTGTGGCATCTTAGAGACTCCGATCTATCCTATCTATCATAAGCTTTCTCCGGATCAACTCATCTGAAGAAGTGGGTTTTGCCCACAAAAGCTGATACTATATATATTTTTGTTAGTCTCTAAGGTGCCACAGGACTACTCATTGTTTTTAAAGTTACAGACTAACATGGCTACCCCTCTGAGAGTTAGCACTGCATTACTTTGACACAGTTTCAGCATGTCACATCTCAACTATCGTGCTGCATTGCTTGGGGAGGTCTACTGTATTACCATACCAGGCCACTTACACTGATGGGAGAGCAATTTTAGTGTAGGCATGTGCCTAGGTCAGTACAAATGGACCTACATCAACCTTACTGTGTATTGCAGATCAGCCTTAATTACAAAGTCTTTCTAATTACTAGCTATGTAAACTCAATCTGAAACCTGACAGTCCAGCTGTATTCTTTTTGCTGCTTACTACCAATGGGAATAGATTTTACCATTAGACTATAGCTGATGATTTTAGTTTGATATGCAAGACAAAAGAACCTTTAGCTTCCTTCTTTACTGCCCTACTGGCATTACAGCATTAATTACAATAGAAAGGTTTAAATTTTAATCTGTTACTCATTTATTTTTTAGGAGTTTTTACATCTCTACTGTACACTGCGTTTGGTGCCTCACTTTCTATATATATTTATTTAAGCAATTTATATAGCTTAATTATTATTTAGATTCCTATCTTTTTATTATGTTTAGAAAATGGGGACTCCGTCTTTGCCTCATATTACATCTCGCAGATGCATGATACATTTGGCACTTCGTAATCTTTCTCTAGTTGCTAGATATGGTAAGGAACTTTTCTCTAGATGCTGTATGTGAAGTTAGAAATATGAAGTATGAATCTGTTTATAGTTCTAAATGTGCTATCTTAGGACCATTAGTGATACTTCAGGTACTTAATGACTTGGTTCTCAAACCAATGACCTGAGAATGAGCTTCTAGGACAGATACAACCAAACTGTGGTAGGTCCTAGAAAGACATGTGACCATGCCACGTGGTACTGGAATCCATCTTGAATCAGTATTTTTCTATGAGGATGGGAGTGCTGAAAAAGGGTTTCTGCACTGGGGAAACGTTTATTTAAGCAATGAGAAAGCCATCAATCCTTTCCCTTTAGCTTGCCTCTGAAACTGCATAGCACATCCTAAGAGTATACAAAGAACTTTTGAAGAAGCTGTGGACTTGGGCCAAAGTAAAGATCAATTCTGACTCAAAGCTTTTACTGGAGATGAGAACAGCTGTTTAGGGTAAAAATTTGCATGTAACAAGTTTCTTAGTGGATTAGAACTAGCTAGTTTTTATTTTGTACATTATTTAGTAATTTACTTTGATCTGACTTGAAATCATTTAAATCAGTTCTCTTTACATAGATAACTGAGTAACCAGATAATGATAACATGTGATCACTTGCAATCTTGATTGGATATGAACTGATTAACTTGCTTTCTTTACAGTAATTTTTGCAAATTAAGTTCTTATTGTAATCTTATTGAGACTCTTATTATTTGGCTAGCCATTACAATGACTGTTTAATGGTGAAGAAAGATTTTCTAGAAATAGGGTTGGGTTTTTCCTTCTATAGTTCCCCTGCCAACAGCCTTCCTTTACTCCCCATGAAGGGCAGTAATTTCTCCCTCTGAAAAAGCACTGTCCACACTGGCACTTTTTGTCCATAACATTTTTGTTTATTCCCACACTCCTGACGGACAAAAGTTTTCTGGGTGAAAGTGCAATGTAGGCATAACCTTTAATGATGGGAAGTACATGTCGTTCAATAGATGGATTGTACTGCCTTAATTTAAAAAAATACTTTATTTATTTTAATTTGTGTTTCACAGAGTATGGAAGAGCAGTGGGTCAAAGGACACAAAGAAAAATGAGAGATGAGCCAAGCATTATGTTAGGAGTTCTTTATCCTCCTGTATCTTTTGTCCACAAAACTTGGTAGAGTTGACAAACTTCTGTCAACATCCAAAAGTCAACAAAACAAAAATCACCAGTGAGCATTCACACTTGTTCTCTCTGTTGACATATCATGTCTACACAAAGGGCACACCATCACTGATAGTGTGAGCAATGCACTGTGGGTAGGCATCCTGTAGTGCAGTGTTGTGGGAAGCACAGCTGATCTCTCAACACCTTGGGATTCTCTCTGAATTCTCCCACAACTGTTTGAGCTGCTGGGAGCAACATCATGAGTAGCTCTGTGAGCTCTCTGTGTTGAGCGATGTCAAAACAGCATAGTAGCCTGTACCCTTCCCTCTGTAGCAGCACTCGGCCTGCTGCTGTGTGCAGGGCAGAACAGGAGCACACCAATGATTTGCTTTCCATTTGTTCCCCAAACAGAGTAGCTCATTCAGCTGTCAGAGTTCCTGGAGCTTTGAAAAGGGAGAGGTGCATGCTTTCAGAGCATCAGAGATCAAAACACTGAGTGGAATCATCAGGGCAGGCCTTGTGGGATACTGCTGGAAGCCAGTTCTGTCAACAAAACAAACAGCATTGTTTACATTGGCTCTTTATTGACAATCAAAGGAAGAGAAAAGGAAACAAAAAAGTCTCTCTAGGGGACAGAAGATTTGTCACCAAAACTGGGTGATTTTTTTTCTCCCAGCAAAAGTCGCATTGCAGTGTCTAGGCTCTCACTGTTTTGTCACCAACAAAACTTGATAGTATAGGTATAGTCTAAGATTGGAATTTTAGAATTTGCCAAATTTAATATCTTGTTGTCTTTGGTTTATGCTGGCAGGAAGCTTTGTTACGAAGCCCTCTGGTGTAGATTGCAGTAATAATGGTATCTTGATTCTCTCTAATGCATTGTAAATACTATGAATGAGTGTTGTGTTGCTAATCCTCTTTACTATGTCATAGTTTAAATGAGTTGATTTGTGATGCACTGCCACATCTATTAGGTAAGGTGACCAGAATTTGAAAATGTGCGAGGAGGACACTGAGTTGACAAAAAACCCATACTTGTATATGTATATAAATAATCATATAAATAAATTATCACAGTATTAGTTGTCTTATAAGACAAACAGACTTAACAGAAACAATCATATAGCATTAAAAACATCAATATTTGTTGCTCCTTTAAGAAATTAAAAATCTTGGTCCATTTTTTATCAATTTTTGCGTTCAGTCCATTCATTGTCTTTTATTATATTGTTAATTCTTCGTACTTCGTCGAACAATAAATTGTCATTTATTGTGATGCTAAATTTTTCTTTAACGAGTAAAACTGTTTCAAGGATTTTATTCCATTGAATTTCTGGATTCTGCTGAATGAAATCAAACATGTACACGGTTTTGTCATGCTTAGTCCAATTTTCTAGATATTCAAGTGCATTTTTATAAAAGCTCATCACCTCCCTCGTAAATTCTTTCTTCATTCCAGAATTGCTCTCTTGTAATTTGTTTAAAGTAGTAATTACAACCAATGGAAAGAAGTTGGACTCAAGAAATGATTGAAGTTACTCCTTTAATTGTTTAATATGCAATCCCACTTCTGTATAAGTTATATGCTCTTTTTCAATACTCTTTATAACTGGAAAAAAGTTGCTTGATTATGAACAAAATACAGAGTTACTTCAGCAGATTCATTCTTAAAGTTTTTCAGGATCAGTGGACATTTTTCCAAACTTAGAAAATATTATTTTAAAGGCTCAAACAATTGCAGCACTTGTTCAATGGCATTAAAGCTAACCATCTTGTTTTCGAATATCCCAACAGTTTTTTTTATATTCAACTGAGACTTCTTCGCAAAAAGTCTTTAATGATGTAACTCTTACAGTGAATCGTTCAAAATGTAAATAAATTTGAGATCACAACTTCAACATCAATGGACATTAAGCTTGATGCTGTATTGATGGCATTAGATACAATATGGGCATTGCAACAGATTCAATAATCGTTTTCCCAAGTAAATGCATCATTTTCTTATGAACATTTTATCGCCTTTGCGATTTAAACCGCCAAAATTAGTATTTGTGTTAATGTCAACTAAAAATCACATTGACATTAAATTAAAATGGCTCAAAATAAACAATAACATTTCATAAATGCCCTCTAAGTGTACTTTTACTGTATATTAAGCCATTTAACAGGGGTTCAATTGCAGTATAATGATACTTTAAAAAACAGTGGGATATTTTTTTTTGGCAAAGTAGGACAAAAAGGACAATTTTTTTTTCAAAGGAGGACATAATTATTGGGGAGGACAAGCCCCTCAAAAGGAGGACTGTCCTCAAAGGAGGACGTCTGGTCACCTTATATTAGGGGCAAATGTGTTTGGTCCTATTAGCTAGGACAAGCATGTAAATATTTTAAAAGTAGTATTGGAACCTAAGGGGTATCCTGGTTTTCAGTTCAAGATAAGGTAGGGAGTTTATATTCCTTTTGTGTAGCTTTGTATGTCCATTTAATCTTCCCAATCCTCTTGACCTTCTTTTGTTTGTCATTTGTTTTGACTTGTCTCTAATTAGATCACACGATTGTCCCAAAAGAATTTATAAATTGTTTATGGAGTGTCTAGCACAATAGGCTCCTAATGTGTATAGGAGCTGTAAGCACTACTATAATATGATTGATGTAAGTTTAAGTGTGAGGGAGTGAACGCTGATGTTTACATAGATCCACCTTCAGTATTGCCAGCCCCTACCATTGAAAAAGCATGATTCAGACTCAAAACAGTGGATATCAACAGTTGCAAAACTGCCAGTCTACGTCCTTGTGGAACATCTTACTTCATGTGAATGGCAATTACTTCTTTAAAGATCATTTCACTGGCATTTTGAAAATACACCAGTTTAACTAGCCTAGATTTAACAACCAAGGTCTCTGGAAAATTTTGAGACTTGAAAAAGATAGCATATTTAAGGAATATTGGCTTAATAAAGCTCTATATTTAAAAAAAAAAACCCTGAAAGTTTTTAGTAAAATGTTTTTATTGTCTAATTCCCTACCATGCTAGTTGTGCTAAAATTTAAACCAAAAGTTATTTTGTTGCCAAGTTAGAAACCCTTGAAAATAAAAGTTTAACACTTTAAAAAAAAATTGTCAATGAAGTTTTGGAGAAGCTCTTACTACCCAATGTGGAGTATTGTTTACTACTGATGTTGAACCCCAAATACTAAAGGGAAGGATTAGAATGAGCAGGGAACCTAAATCATGATTCCAGTGCCATATGCCCGTTACTAGTCAAACAAGATCTAAGCTGCTAAAATGCAAGTTTAGCAGAATGCTTATATGCTCTGTGGTTTTTATTAATAAGCTACTTAATGTGTACAGCTGTTTGGTCAAACCAAGGAGTAAACAGAAACGGATTAGACTAATATTAGATATATTCTGCAAGGGCACTAGTTGCTGGAAATGGCAGAAATCTTGCCAAATCTTTGACTGCAGCCTTGTTATCCCCTTTTCTCTGTTTTCTCTGTTTCCTCAATCCCAAATTCTTACCTTCTAAAATACCAGAATATGAGTGGGGATGGCATTTGAGTCTGTTTGTAAAGCCATTGGGAAGATGAGCAGATGCCCATTTTGGACACCAGTGCAGGTGCAGTGCAATTTGCTACTAGGGATTTCTTGTGCTGACTGAGGAATGACTGCAGATTAGATCAGTTTTAAGACTTTGAGTCTAGTTATGCTTTCATACTGGTATAAAACTCATTGACTTCTATGGTGTAACTCTTCTATATTGAGACCAAGACTTTAAAGCAGAACTAATTTATAATGTTTGCATGGATTTTGACAATAGCTGCACTGCTAGAATTTAATTTGCTGCTTTTTGAAGTGTTTTGGGATGCTTTCGATATGAAGTATAAAAACTGAGTTTATATATTTGCATTTCTAAAAATCCTCCACTGATGACTATTCCAACATTCCCTTGGAACAGTATTCCAAAATTTAATAATCCTTATAGTTAGGCAGTTTTCCCTAATACCAAACTTAAATCTCCCTTGATGCATATAAAGCCCTTTACTACTACTCCTACCTTGAGTGAACAGGGAAAATAATTGATCCCCATCCTCTTTTATAACGGTACTTAACATATTTCAAAACTGTTCCCAAGTCTCCATATTTCTGCCCCGTCTATCATTTCAAGCTAAACATACACTGCTTTTTCAACCTTTCCTATGGGTTAGCTTTTCTAAACATTTTCTCATTTTTGGTGCTGTCCTCTGGACTCTTGTCCAATTTTGTCTGTATCTCTCCTACCAAGTTGTACCCAGAATTAGATACAGTATACCCCTCTGCCATGTATATTGGCCAAACTGGACAGTCTCTGTGCCAAAGGATAAATGGACACAAATAGGGTTGCCAGGTGTCCAGTGTTGAACCGGAGAGTCTGGTATTTTCGCCTCCTGCCTGATTTTCCCCCCCCGTACAGGAGGTGAAAATCCCAGGTGCTTCCCGGGTTCTGTAGGGGAGCTATCTGGCCTAGAGCAGAGAGGCAAGATGGCGGGTAACCACCAGCAGCCCGTTAGGGCCAAGAAAGCCTCGAAAGCATTTCTTAAAGGGGCCATGCTGTCTTCAATTTTTTTTTTCTCTCAACAGAATTTTTTCCTTGTTAGGGGCCAAGAAAGCCTCGAAAGCATTTCTTAAAGGGGCCATGCTGTCTTCAATTTTTTTTTTCTCTCAACAGAATTTTTTCCTTGTTAGTTTTTTGTTTGTTTGTTTTTTTGGGGGGAAGAGTGTTTGGTGTTTTTTGGTTAAACCATCTGGCAACCCTAGACACAAATTAGACATCAAGAAAGGTAACCTTCATAAACCTGTAGGAGAACACTTTAGCCTCTTTGGACATTCAGTAATGGATTTAAAAGTAGGAGAGGCAGACCGCACAGAGAATGGAGAGATGATATAGTAGATTGGTGCGGAGCTAGTCTACAGAAACTAAGCTACTCTGTACTGGATAGGGAAACATGGAAGGAAATAGTGATGGAGGCATCGGATACCAACGGGCGTTGAGCCCATGGTTGTTGATGACGATCAGGGCTCGCCAAACTGCGGCGAGCCCCACTCGCCAGCCGCGCTGTCCAGCAATCTGCGCATGCGCAGATCACCGGAACCCAGCTCTTCCGCCACAGGCGAGTAGATTGTATAATTTGTCGAGCCCTGATGATGATGATCCTGTTGCTACAAAAAAAAAAAAAAAAAAACCCAAAAAATCAACAACAAAAAAAAGAAAAAACAGCTACTTTAAAACCATATTACAAAAGGAAACAGCAGAACTGCAATTCCTTTGCAAATTCAATACAGGTTGAATCTCTGTAGTCTGGCATGCTTTAGTGTAGCCTATAAGTTTAAGTTGCTTGTCTGCCATACCAATTAACATGCTTTTCTTGGGCAGTTTTGTACTAATTTATTATCCTGTCCTGTGTATAAACATAGTATGTATTTACATTGTAGGTATTCATGGTAATCCCTAGTATTAAGCTGGAAAGCAAGAAACCTACAGGCCCCTATTCTGTATGAACAGCTAA